AAAATTTGAATATAACCAAAAGATTCGTTTATCGTACCATCAAACGATACAATGAAGACTCTAGTGTAGATGACAGGTCAAGAAGTGGTCGCCCTCGGTCTGTTAGGACTCCAGCAGTGATAAAAGCTGTGAAGGCGCGAATTCAAAGAAATCCCAACGTAAGCAGAAACTATTGGCCCTTCAGATGGGGTTAAGCAGAACCACGGTGAAAAGGGTGTTAAATGAAGACTTAGAGCTTCGGGCATATCGAAGAAAAACAGGACATCGTTTGAATGCTCGTCTAATGGACCTGAGACTGAAGAGATGCCACGCTTTGTTGAAGCGGTACGCGGGAAAAAAATATCGGGAAATTCTTATTTCAGATTAAAAAATTTTTACCGTAGAAGAGAGCTACAACAAACAAAATGATAAGGTGTACGCACACAGTAGTGAAGAAGCGAGCAACCGTATTCCGCGTGTCCAACGAGATCATTTTCCATCCTCGCTCATGGTATGGTTGGGAGTTTCTTATTGGGGCTTAACAGAGGTACATTTTTGTGAGAAACGTGTAAAAACGAATGCAGTTGTGTATCAAAATACAGTCTTGACGAACCTTGTGGAACCTGTTTCTCATACCATGTTCAATAACAGGCACTGGGTATTCCAACAAGATTCGGCGCCAGCTCATAGAGCGAAGAGCACACAAGACTGGCTGGCGGCGCGTGAAATCGACTTCATCCGGCACGAAGACTGGCCCTCCTCCAGTCCAGGTTTGAATCCGTTAGATTACAAGATATGGCAACACTTGGAGGAAAAGGCGTGCTCAAAGCCTCATCCCAATTTGGAGTCAGTCAAGACATCCTTGATTAAGGCAGCCGCCGATATTGACATGGACCTCGTTCGTGCTGCGATAGACAACTGGCCGCGCAGATTGAAAGCCTGTATTCAAAATCACGGAGGTCATTTTGAATAAACTTTAGTGTCATAAGAATCTATGTTTTGTTAAGTTCATTCTGGTATATAAATGGTTACATAATGAATAAACTTGTTTCAATTATTTTATATTAAACATGTGACAGAATTTATGACCTGACTAGGTAGGTATATTATATATATATATATATATATATATATATTCGCATCATGCGTCTGTTCATTTGGTCAAGTATTACTTATTTGGCAATAATTGTTTCGGACGGATGTCGGACGGAAATCGAGAGTAGACCCCCTGATACGAATCGGACATAAGTTGAAAAGTCCCATGTGCCTGTAATTTCACCAGTACCCTTACCTTTCAAACCGAAACGAAGTAATACTAACTTTACTGCTTGGCGACCGAAATGGATATAATGTGGTAGTACTTCCCTGGACGAACTCTTTCACAAGAAGCTCTACTGCTACTTTTATGGAAGCTAACGATTGTTATTCTAATGAATGAATGGCATTACGGTTTTGCTTGTCAAGTCACGACTGCAATTAAATATACTGTAACAGTTTAAATGTAAAAACCATTAAGGTTATGTTAATGACATTCTACATTCAAAATTTGCTTGAATCGGATAAAAAAGCTTTAACTCTATGCAATAGGTGTGCATGCTCCATCGCCGACTTCATTGTTACTTTCCATCAGGTGAGATGGATGTCAAATGTGCATCTATTTTTTAATAAAAAATAATTAAGAGCGATATGCAATATAATGCAATGCGTGGCAGTAGAGCTCCTTGTGAAAGAGTTCGTCCAGGGAAGTACTGCCACTTTATCTGTTTCTGCTGCGAAGCAGTGATCGATAAGAGTGTCGACTCGTATATGTAGAATATCGGATGATACTGCCGTCCGCTAACTAAAATTATTTATACGAAATTCGGGGCTAAGTGACAAAATTATTTTTTGAGATATAAAAAAACCACAACCCAATTTTAGAATATTGAAACTGTTTAATGGTATTTCAGCTATGCATCGTTAGGGTACTCGTAAGTTCCGATAGGTCGAACACGTTAACTAATTTTAACTGTTTTTAAAAGAAAATTTTGTTATTTAAAATTGATATTTGACCATTTGTCACTTAACCCCGTTTTAGTTAGTGGACGGCAGAATACTAATAAGAACACCGACCTGACAGCTTTGGAACCTGTGTCTGTGCCAAACCAGGGCCACCGATCTACCGCTGAGCTACAGGTCGAGTGAGTAGACCTTACGTTTTCAAAATCAAAATTGTCTTTATATCGTAAGCAAATTACACGTAGAAATCGTCACCATTACACAATTAAAAAACCATACTGTCTTATCGTTTTGTAATCCCTAACAGAGTTATATCCTAAAATAAAAAGGAAAATCCAAAACAGCGTTTGGAATCTTATTATACTGCTGAATACGTTGCCCCACAAAAGAAAAGAAGAAAAGAATTTGTCTATGTGTTTGATCTTTTGTATTGGGACAGGTTAGGTCGAGGAATTTTTTTTTGTGTTCGATCTTTGTTTTATATTTATTAATAATTAATAATTATAACAAAGTAGTGGAGTATTTTCACAAAAAAAAAATTAATATCACGGTGGTAAAAATCATGAAATTCAGTGAAAATCAATAATGTAAATGCAACTATTTCTACAAAACTCAAATGACTCCAAAACTCGACTTTAGTAAATAATACAGGAGCCTATATATTGTGCCCAGTGTAATTTGGCGTTCACGCGAAACACGACGCAGTAACACGTTGTTAATTACAAAGTCCACGTACATATACAATTAGTCATTCTCGCACAATAAGCCAGTTAATTTTAACCTTTTTAGGTGACTACATAAATAAATATGTACTTTCATTTCAGAATCATTTCATTGTATCGGAAGAAAAAATCGGTATAGCAGTTGGTCAAATTTAATAAAATGTTTTATCATACAATTAATTTTGAGTGTGAAAACCTCGTATATGCGTTTTCACATAGTTCGTTTGTACTGATTTTTGGTGAAGAAAAACTTATTAACGTCATGCTCAAATACATTAGTAAAGTGTTATAGTATCCGAAAAGGTATAATTTAAATAATTAAAATGCTAAATAAAAGCATTATTACGTTTACTATATTTTACACCACCTTTTTATATTCTTAATGAAAAATTACACAGAAATACATGTGATTTATGTGACGTATTCACTCTAAGACGACGATAATTATGACCTCTATCTTGCAGTATGCATCCTTACAAGAAACTGAGTCGATTACATTAAAAAAAATTGTATATATTATTCATTTCTTTGAGAATAGTTTAGTTAGTGGGAAAACGGCCGTAAATACGAATTTGGTGCTTCGAAATTAGGGCCCCAGTTTAGAGAATAGATAATAAATAAATAAGATCCGGCATCATAGTCCGCATTCATTCGAAAAGGAAAACTAAAAAGAAAAGACTAAACCTGCAATGGATAATATATGTTACAAGTAATATAATTGTGGGGATGGGGGAGGAGGGTAGACAAGCTGCGAGGTCGGTCACGTGAACTATTTGCAATCTAATAATCGTAATAAATTCTAGAGGCTAAGCTGTTATAAAAGTACTATTCTCAAGGCTAACACTGGCTTGTTATACTAGCAAATGTATCATATTAAACAATGCTACATGTAATAATGGAATTCATGTTATCACCGTATGGACGACAATAACATGAAAAACATTTTAACATGTATAAACATTGACATCATTTTAAAATAATAGGGCAAATCACAAACGCCAAGAACGTATTAATTATATCTAATAATATAGGTAATATTAACAACATCTTCAAGGACCTTGTACCGAAAATTACATTGTCTTGATTATACAACCTATAGTACCAATACATATACCGACTGTATGTATATGTGTCCAAAGGCTACCTAAACATTTATACAGTTAAGCGAGCAGTTTCACCGGATAAAACAGATTCTATCGGATAGATTTCGGGGAGTGTGCGCAGGAACTTTTGAATTTAGTTCCACCCTCACCGTTTCTTCTTCGGTCGACTAGAAGGTTCGAAACACTCGATCTTTATGTCGTTGATATACCGCCTATTCGCACTAACCGCTTTGCTTCCTCATTTTTGATGTGTCCGGCAAAGGAATGGAATACTCCTCTATCTGTGTTTCCCGTAAAGTATAATTTGGGACTATTCAAGGCTAGAGTGAATAGACATTTTTTAGGCAAACGCGTCTCATCGTCGGTCACATCGTCGCTTAACATCAGGTGAGATTGTGGCCAAGCGTGTGTCTATTACACATTAAAAAAAAGACGATCCACTTGATGGGCGGTGGACATCTGTAACACCAAAGGAGCTGCGTTGCCGAGCTTTAAGAGCCTTGTCGCCTCTCTTTTTGAAAAACCCCATGTTATAGCGCTAAGGAAATATACCATTCCATTTTGCAGGGTTGAGAAAAGAACGAATTTGATACCCGCGTGATCTTACAATGCCTGGCTTCAGAATGTATATATTCATTTGTTATCAATAAACAAAAATGTAATCTAACAGCATGTTAATAATTATCAGAGCATCGCTCTCTGGTTAGGTCCCAGTTATCTTTTCCATCCTTCAACTCCGGTTTTTAATCTCACTCCTTCACTGTTCATGCGGTCAGACTTTGGAATGCATTTCTCGTTCATGATAGTAAATCTTTAGCAATTTTCAAAATAGCAGTTAAGGAGTACTTTTTATCGACTGTTGCATCCGTTTTATAGGTATTGTAGTACGAAATATGTATTTATTTAAGTATTTATATGATTTTAATAATTTAATGTTTTTGTTTTTTTTTTTTGTTATTCATAATTTTGTTCTGTAGTGCACGTAAACCCGTTATTATAATTATTGTCTCCTGTATTTAGGCCTTTTGTTTGTACTTTCCTTGTTACTAAATGCATTTAATTTTTTTCTGTACAATAAATAATTAAATAAATAAAAATAAATAGACTTTTAATTATTCAATTTCAACTCTTGGGAGAGTTGAATGTTTAGGAATTGGAACAAAAACATCAGATATTTTCATGTCAACGTTAAACTTACCTCGGTGTTTGTGGCGGTGATTGCGACAGTAAAGACCCTGATCCTCGTTTGTTAAGTGGCGGGCGAGGTGCTGAAGGTCGACGCTCCACGCCTGACGCTGACCTAGTTGCTGGCGTGCCCTCGGCTGCGAGAACTCGGGCTGACACCAGGGCCGCTTCTGGACAATGCTGCAACAAAAAGAAACCCATTAAGACTCGATACTACCTCAGCTCGAATTCAATTTTTTACCGTACTGGTACGGTTCATTTTGCTTGGGTCGGCAGGGACACTGGCTTTATTTTAGAATAGATTTTTTTTGCAAATGATGAATTAAAGCCATTTGAAAATGTATATTGTATACTATACGTGTTCTATTCAGATGATATAAAAAAAATATATTAATGTATGTAAAGTACCTATTGAATACAACGGTTTTCTTGTAAAATTTCATGTTAAGTTTGTGTTCTTTTTCTATCGCGAAAATTTTTAGAAATCGTGTTTTCACACTGTATAGTAAGTACTTCGTATATATTATACTCAATTTTGGTACATATCTGAAAGGGTTGTAACCCTAAATAGCCGTGAACAGGTTCACGGCAATGAAATGGGAAACTTCCGGTCCACAAAATTTATTAAAGAAGTAAAGTTTAAAGAAAGGCCCTAAATGGGCCGAGAAACTGAATTACAGAAATAAATACATGAAGGGTGTAGACTTATAAATTATTATACATGATTAGCTTATTAACAGCTCTGACTGTTGTGGCGGTCGAGTTGGGAGTGAACGTGGTACGAAAACAAAATGAGAAAGAGAAGGAAGATGGAACAATTCAAATTTAAAATTTAAATATATGTAAAATAAAAAAATATATAAGATACAAGAGTGACGGTGTAAGGACACATCACACACACCATCACATATTTTTTCCAGAGTGGTTGATTCAACTTTTTCACTTTAATGCGGAATCAACCAAAGCCATTTGAGTTTGTATAGACCATACTCGATGGTATAGGCTCTTAATGCAGTGTAACATGTCCTACCCACATGAACCGATGACCATCCCTGAAATGTGATCTGAATAGCAAATGAACAGCAGAAAACTGTGTACCTTTTCCTTTATGTTTATTATATGTTATTTGTATCTTTTTATAACAATTTTGTTAATTAAAGGTCAAACTCGTAGCGCAATTTGGGAGAGAACCTTTTTAAATTAGTTTGAAAGAAAAATTACAACCATTTTGTAAATGTTGTAAATGTTAAGCTTTTATTTTTAGCGAGTTGATGGATTTTGAATTTTAAGTAGCAACATTATTCAACCAAATGTCATACAGGTCGAACCGACAAACGAAACTTCTACCAAAGATGGTAGAAGTTTCGTAAGAATGAAAAGGGCAAATTTGTTGTTGGAATAACCTTTAACATTTTCGTTTCAACAAACATCAACAAAAATTCCAATACCTACGCAGTCTTTGCAAAATATTTTCCATTCCAAACTCGGCAATCCAAATAAACAATCGTTTATTTGAACAGCTATGCAAGTGACGTGCGACATATAATACGTGCAATGGCTGAAGTCTAGATTAATAACACAATAATTGATTACTGATACGGATTCAGTTGCCGAATATAATGTGGGTATATCTTACAGAAATATTTTTTAATATATCGGAGCCAATTATCACTTCAAACGTAATGTAACAGGATTTTGTTTATTTTTTACGTAATGTGCTTTACAAAAGCACCCTTTAGAAGATTTACCAAACTTAGCTAATATTAAGTGTTGTTATTTAATTAATAGAGAAACGACGAACTAAGCTTGTGGGGGTGGAGGGACTAGAAGTTCGAAAGGTATGCAATCAAAGAATGGAGAATGATAAAGTATAACAATAAGTTTATATTAAAAGAACCTGAGAGTGTTGTTATTATGTAGATGAGTAGAGTGGTGGTGTGGTGTGGTGTGGTGTGCAATGAAGAAGGTAGAAACCGGGTTACACGGAGTTGCGGGCCTCCGCCCTCCTAGGTTGGAGACCGGGGACGGAGACGCAAACGCGCGTTCGTGGAACACGTGATTGGATTGCTACAATTGCGATTTATAGGCGATTGTATCGATGCAAACGCGCGCCTACATCGATACAAACGCGCGATTGTATCGATGCAAACGCGCGACAGCATCGATGTAATCGCCTTTAAATTCCAAGAGTAGCGATGCAATCACGCGTTTGTATCATGCAGTGGAGCGCTTGCATCGCGTTTGCATCGCTGTTTAAAATCGCGCGTGTGTATAAAGGTAAACGATTAGCGACTGCATCGCGTTTACATCGCGTTTGCATCGCTGATAAAAGTCACCGTGTGTAACCGCTATTAGAGGATGGAAAAAAAATAAAGCGGGCAGGCGGCGCCACAGACCATATATATTATCTAAATAGACGCCGCAAGTGTAGACATCTACTTCTAATCAACTGCCGCCGCAAGTGTACCTACTACTCAATTTTTATTGCGGCGGAACGAAATGGAAACGAATTTTTGTAAAGATATTCAAGCATTCTCGTGCATGCGCGGAATTCTCACGCATGCTCGAGAATGCTCGGCGCATTCCGCGTAAAATTCTGGCTCGCATCTATAGTTAGTACGTTACACAATTCACCATAAAGTTCTTTATGTTATGCACAATATAGTTACAAAAATTCGCGTCCATTCCTTTCCTCCACAATATAAATTGAGCCTTAGTTGCCGCTGCTACGCGTTCAGAGCGCGCCCGGCCGTTTAAGTAGTCAAACATTTAGTCGAAACATAAAATGCCTAATTATGCCATTAGAAACTGCAAAAATACCACAGCTATAAGTAGATGCATAAACAGGGACGTTTCCTTCCACAATTAAGTCATTTCGTAATCAGAATATGCATATAATTTATTTTAAAATCAATTATTTTTATTTTGTATGAATTTCGTACAAATATATAGATTCGTAATATATTGCGACTTTTACTTGGAAAGGTACATTTGTGATCCTCCTTTAGTAAGCCATGAATAAAGAATGAGCGATACTTTCGTATAATGCATTCAGTTTCATGGTACTGTCGCTTGATCTTACTTTGGATCAAACTTTACGATTAGTGATATTCACTTTATACAACACATTAAAATTCACAGATGTCGGAAAGACCTCGTAAATCAAATCTCATTTATGAAATAGATTTCTCAAAAGTCGTTACAAACATAGAAAAATTTAAGTAACATTTAATTAACAAGCACATAGAAAAATTCGTAAGCTCCGCTAGTTCGTTCCGTTGCTTAGGTGGCAATGGCATAGCATTTGGCACGGTTTCCTGGAAGACGTTGGTTCGAATCCAGCCGGATCGAAGGTTTTTTTCCAAGTGTTCGATCTTTGTATTAATAATTATAACAAACCAGTGGAGTCATTTCACAAAAATAATTGAATATCGTGGTGATCAAACATCGTGACATTCAATAACTTAAAATTCAAATCTCCATAGTTCATAGAATTTTGTCAAAGTAAGAGAGAGACGATAGATGTAGAGAACGACAAAACTCTTCTTGTCATAACTAATTTTCATTTTGGTAACTTTCGAGATATTGGCACCTTAAGGTTTTTTATCCTCCTAAGGTCCCGTGTACATCAAACAATGCATAATGTGTGAATTGATTCAGCTTCGGACAATATTACTCTTATGATTACGTTTTAACACATGTACAGCGTAGATTATAATTAAAATATCGATTTAGCGCCTTAAAAGTTTATCTAAACAAGTACGGTTTTCATACAAAAGCGAGGGTGTACTTACTTGGGTCTGAAGTATGTAGGTAATTTTATTTAGTATATTTGAATATACATTGGGCATTTAGCGCTTTACCCATTGTAGTTTGCTGGGTCTTAAGAGGTTATACTAAAAATGTCAACTTGCGCTGATTTACGTAATAGTGAAATTGAAACGAAAGAAGATGTAAAAAAACCGTTTATAAGGGTTTGTAGACATGCCAGATTATATGTTAATATATCAATTTTTTTTTAAATGTGGATTACGTTAGTTACGACAAGGGGGGCAGCACAGCTGTGGTTCCCTAAATATTTTAAAAGGTAAATTGTCGCCTTACTGTTTTAAAGCACAACGTAACTGAAATGCAAAAAGGCATTGTATATACAAATTTTGCACGCTGATTTCACTACACATTTCCTTCATATTCACACACTGGTTTTTACCTATCGTTAAAGTAATGCATCCAAACTAACGCCTTTGGTAAGAAATTTTAAATATATAGAAAGTTTTGCCACCTCCTGAATAATTCTTCTTTATGAGATACGTGCTTGAGAAAGAAAGGCATCGAAATAAGTTAGCTAAAATATGCGCATGCTATGGTTATGAACAGGCGCGTAGCTACCCATCAGGCGCACGACTTGTTCGTCCCGTCACTTGATATTATAAAAAAATGTTTCTTCATTGAAAGTCTAAAGATTCCTATAGTGATTCCAGTCTAATATTACGGCGGAGAAAGTGAATTTTGCTTCCTACGACTACTTTAAAAATAGTTTAAAATAGACAACAATATGTTATAACTTTTTTATTTAAAAAAAAGACCAACCCCAAAAGTTCGTGGAATTATATCTATTTGCCAAGTTTCATACGCTAGTTTGCCACTCCTAAAGGTATAGGAGTATTTTCTTCAAATTTAAATGACACCAATATTGAAGTACCTTCATTCTAACAAAAAAGAATCCTCAAAATCGGTTCACAAATCAAGCCGGAGTAATCAAGTAACTTGCACAAAAAAAGTCGAATTGATAACCTCGTTTTTTGAAGTCGGTTAAAAATTGCGGGCTGACGCGTATTCTAGTTCCGTATCTAACATCGATCGTATTCAATAAACGAGCTCAAACTAGATAAGGGATGCGGGTAGTTACGAATTCCACACAAGCCGACACCCGCTAACCGTTGATGTAGCAAGAGCTGAATGCGCTATGTACTAACGTATTCAACTTGTTAGCCTGTTAGCAAATTCGTACTCTTGGTATAATTAAACACAGGTATATACGTCATACGTCAATTGTACTTTCTTAATAAAGGGTTTTTCAACAAGAACTTTGTTTTGTAAATCAAAATAAAACAATAAATTTATATGACAATAATTCAAATTTTTATTGTATTAAAAAAAGTAAGATTTAGCAATTATGAACGAAAAATGATATCTGTTATATGTCCACCACGATTCTTTCATCAAAGTGATTAAAAACACTTTTTGACAAAGTAGTGA